GAAAATATCACATAAGTTTTTCAAAAATTAACCCAAGCAGCGTTTTTAAAACCAATATAATTCTCAGCACAAAACTCATATGAACATGAATCAAGTTGCATTGGAATTCTAAGATATGCATCTACAATTCTTATGAAGACACCAAAAGAAAATAAGGCCATTTAACATGTGATAAATCTGCAAACACTTAAAATAAGGTCACAGTACAAAACTGGAAATATGCAACTGACTAGGCCTCAGTAAATGTTAGTTAACTGGAGCTACAGACATGTTTTCAATGAGATTCAAAAATCACATGATAGATAACTCAAATGGCTACAACTTTTCTGAAGATAATATTGACAAATAATCACATTTTTCAACGAGTTTAATCACAAAATATATGATTCAGCAAACCTCCCCGGAACTAACATGAGATGTAGACAACACTGCAGTATTTATCATCTAGACCGAGCTACGGACCTCCAAATGACATGGTTACAGTTTCACATTAAACCTAAAGAATGGCTCTACAACTTCCATTTAGAATAAAGAAGCATATAAGGTCATTAAGATAATATAAAATCAGTTAAAATTCAACATCAGATTTCTGCCAAATTACAAAACTCTATCTCATGCATGTCTACCTTCATAAGAACACAACTCGAGCTACAGAGCACATATCAACATGAAATTTAACTCATTTGAAAGATAAGAAATATACCTATAACTTTCATGAAGATAATATTCATACGATTATATTACGACATGATAAACAGGTCACACATTAATTACATACATGCTGTCGGGTAACAGGAAAAACTGGACGCGCAATATTCTCGTAAAAAATCATAACTTATTCGATGAAACTCAGAATCGAGAAATTCCAAAGCTCAGGTACAGACAACCGAACATACTACAATTCATAAAAAGATAGCAACTTCAAATAACCGGTCTCTGATGGCTTTAACTGAGGCACAACAGAACAACGAAAAATGTGTTTTCACATGAAATAACAATGGACTTATATAAACGGATGTTCTAAGCTCGACAACAATTCATATGACGATTTCCACAGTATCAAACGAGCACAATAATATATCACAGCAATTCATAATACTCAATTTATAAAAGACGAGAATTATCAATGCCCGGCTAATAACACGATTTACGAAAAAAGTACGAACCGACATATAATGGCTTCAATCAACGACACTCGAGACATCTAACATGAAATCATCGAACATATCTAAATTCGAATAACAACTAACGAGGAGGTTCCAAAAAGATTACCCGTCTTCGAAAAATTGAAGAGACGGGTCGAACGAACGGAACTCGAAAAAACTCGAACGGATCTTCGGCGAAGGGCCCGGGATGCTCGCGAACGAAACTCGGAAAAAGGAACCGAGGGGCTGCTCGAAACCAGAGAGCGAGGCTGACCTCGAAAATGGCCGGTGACTGGTCTGAACAGAACAGGGTGCGCCGGCGAATGGGTCAACTCACTGGAAAACGGTGACAGGAGGAGATGCGCGGCTGGAGATCGAGCTCGCTGGTTCACGTTGGAAATGGCATCGTGGAGGATGGCGATCGCGGAGAAGGGCTCGCCGGAGATGGTGTCGAGGGGGAGGTGCGCGGCGGTGGTCGGGGCTATTGGTTTGGTCGCGCACGTCGAGAGCTCGCCGATATTTGCAGCGGCAAGGTAAGTAGGATGATGGTGGACGGAGATGATGATGGTGATGATGGTCTGAGGTGAGGGAGAAAACAAGGGCTGAGGGCGTTGATGGCGTGAGGATGATGATGAGAGGTTATGGCGACGGGAAGAATTTTATTTTCTCTTCTCTGTTCGAGAGAGAGATAAATGCTGAGGGGCGTGAAAAAATGATGCTGCATGATATGATTTTGAAGGCTGAAGAAATCCTGAATGTAAATAGCCGAGAGAGGAGAGTGATGTGCGTCCGTTGGAGGTAAAATCTCCTTGAGACTCGATCTGCCAATTCGAACGAGCGAGCAGATAAATTTTATCTCTTGGACTCAGTCTTGGCAGATAAAAGAGAAGGAGCGGAACTTTGTTTAATATCTGTTTTGGGCTTGCCAGATTTAAATTTAGCATAGTCCTTTTATTTAACCTCCAAAATGGGCCAAAAAATTATTTATCAAATGGCTAGAGAAAAATGATCCCAAAATGGCTACAAAAAAATAATCAAAATCGGCTGGTTTTCTCGGGCTCGACTAAAAATTATACGAGGCTCGGTTCGACGTGGCGAAAATTTAAAATTCAGATAATATATATATATAAGCATTAATACATTTAAATTTAATACATATATACATATCTGAATATATATATATATATATATATATAGGGTCACGCTCACATGAGAATGGTGCTCAGTGAAAGAAATAAGAATAAACTCCAACCATTAGATCGGATGATCTAATGGATAAAAAAAATAAAAATTACACCTTCATTAAGGGTAATATAGTAATTTTCACATACAAATAGTGGGGTCCACAAACACCAACTCTCCCACACCCACGTGGTCAAACCCACTCACCTCACCAATCTCTTTCTCTCTCATACTCTCTCTCTCTCACACAAAGTCACGTACACACACTCTGTACAAAGATTTCAATCGATGCTCACCTTCAGTCCTCCATATCCGCCGCCGTCTTCCTCCAGATCCGCCATTCCCTCCGCCATCATCGCCGCCGTCTTCCTCTAGATCCTCCATTCCCGCCGTCGTTTTCCTCTAGATCCTCCATTCCCGCCGCCATCTTCGTCCTCATCGTTCCAGACCGCCATCGGAGCATAGTCGCCCCAGCCAGAGACCTCCGCCCAGAATATCTCTCCGGTGACGATCGGCTGTGCTCTGTCGCCAGTCGCCTGCGCCATCCCCATCAACCGCGGCGTTCCCCGTCGTCCCTGTGGCCTTCACCGTCCTCCGTCGATCGTGCCATCATCCGTCGCCCGCGACTCACCACCTCCTCGACTCTCGCCGGCGTCATGTCTGTTCGACGGCCTAGGCGCCGCCGCACTGTGGAGCTTCAATGGCGTCTTCAAAAAAAAAAAGAAAAAAGAAAAAGCTGAAACTTGCCGGGTGTCGCCGGACGGAATATGCATCGACGCCGGAAGTCGCTGGCCAGAGTGGCTGCCGGAGAAGACTGGTAGTATGGTAGAAGATGACATTTTGGGATTAGGGCTTTTTTTTTAGAATTAGATAAGGTTAAAGGGTTTTATTGCAATTTAATGAATTTTAGTTATATTTCAATTTGATGCATGTGGCAAATCTGTAATTTACTGAAAGTTTAATAAATGCATATTAATTGAAAAAAAAAATGCACAATATATTGTACTCAATCATATTAAAAATAAATGTCATGTGATAGCACAATAGTTTTATATGAAATGCACATTAATGATCGACATATTGCACCGTATCGAACAAAATAGACCAAACTAAGATATATATAAAAAAAAAATTAAATTATTAACATATTAAATATAATATTAATATAGATAAAAAAATATTTCAATTATTTAAGATAATTCAGTTAACCGAACCGAAAAATCAATTAATTATGTTCATTTCTAATTTGTTTTAAGGAAAAAAAATTGTTTGGTTCAATATGCACGACACCATGCACCATAGGGTTGAACAAATTGCACCTTAATAACTGTTAGATTGCACATAATATTTCATTTACATACATATTAATTTTTTTGATCAAAAAAATATAAAGTATCAAATAAAAACGTATTAATTATTAATCGCGTTTTTTATAATAAATGATATAATTTATGTCGAAATTTTTGGTTATATATGTTATCCAATGAATTAATCCGGTTATGTCGAAATTCAGTTTGAAAATTTATAGTAATTAAAATAATATAAAAATATATGTTTACTTATATAAATAATTTGATAAGTGAAAATTTATGTTAATTGAAATACAAGTAATTAATCTTTCTACCATTGAAATGTGCATAGAAAATACACAATCAATAGAGTGCACAGCAGTTCTATACAAAATGCACATTATAATTTGTTGGAATGCACATTATTGATTTTGTTATTTTATATATTATGACTTTTTCAACTCAAAAAGTAATATTTATTAGATATAAAATTATAATATTAAATATATTTTTCATAATATAAATAGTAAATCATTTTGTTTGATTAGGTAATTCGGTTAATCGATTGAATAAATCGCTTATTTGGTTCGATTTTAATTTGGTTTGGAACAAATGATTAAAAATATCTACAATTCGAGTTCACAATAGCGTTAGACAAATTGCACATTATTAACTAAAAGAGTGCACAATATGGAACGATTCGACCGAACTAAACCGTTTGATTCGATATTTTATATTTCGGTTCGATTATTTGTTTTTATTTTAAAAAATATGATTATTTATTATTGATGCCGACTTTGCTTACTTTTTTAAAATAACATAAATAACCGAATTAATTGAACTATATAAAATTATTATTATTATTATTATTATTATTATTATTATTATTATTATTATTATTATTATTATTATTATTATTATTATTATNTTTAATGTATCGGGGGTGCACAATAATGTTATACGATTTGCACAATAGTGTTATACGACTTGGACATTAACAACTATCAGATTGCACATTAGCGACCGAAATCGAAAAATCGAAAATCCCAAAAAAATAATATAAATTGTTAATTATTTTTAGCCATAAAAAATATAAAATAAACAAAATTTTTAGTTTTATTTTTTATATTTCGGTTCGATTTATTTCTATTTGGAACAAAAGCTCAATCACCTATTAATATTATGCAATTTACTTATTAATATTGTGTACTTTTAAACTTTTAATAAATTATATATTCAACCAAAATTTAATTGGCATATAAATAATTTCTACTAATTTACATATAAGCCCTTAGAAATTATCCAATTCTCAATTATGCAAGCCCAAATCTCATCTAAATTACAAATTCCCCAAATCAGCTACACAGAACATAAATCTCGACACCTTCTTCTAATCGTCCGTCAGCCCCGCCACCGAACACCGTGCAGGTTCTCGCCGCCGCCTCGACTAACCAGAATCCGACACCAGATTCGGCTGCGACCGCACCTGTCCCGTCGACATATTGAACCGCCGCCCACCGGCTCTGTACCGACCAATTTTCCATTGGAATTCAGTTTCCTCCGTTGCCCCGTCTGGAGTCTCGATAGATTACCGATTTCATATGGGATTCTGGAGTCGTACCTTGTGACATACAGTGACGGCGGCGGAGATAGGGTGGGAGACGGTGGAGGTCGGCAATGGCGAGATCTATGTTGAACCTCCAGCGAGTATGTGGTGGATGGCGGTGGCGGAGAACTGTGGTGACGGTACTGTTGAGTCGGTGGGGCAGTTGGCGGTCGGCGGAGGTAGGCGAAAGATGACTGTTGAACGATGTGGTTGTTCCCGGTGGCAGTCAGTGATGTCGAGGGTCGAGTCGGCTGCTGTTGCGGCAGCGAGTGTGGCGGCGAGGCGGTGGTCCGTCACAAGAACAGTGGGTGTGTGTCGTGTTATGTGTGTGTGTGTGTGTGTGTGCGTGCGTGCGTGTGGAAGAGAATTAGGGTGGGGAAGGGGGTAGGTGGGGTGCAGTGTAATTATATTGGTATTAATGATGGGAGTGGTGGGTCCCACAAAGGTGTTGAATTTGAATTAAATGTCTAAACTATCCTTAATTATTGATCGAATGCACATATTTGACCACACTATGATCAAGTAATTACCAAATTGCCATTAATGATTGACCATAATTTGACTTCATCCTAACCATTGATAGGATTGATCTCATGGTGTAGGTTTATTCTCATTTCTTTCACTATCTACCATTCTCATATGATCCTAACTCTATATATATATATATATATATATATATATATATATATATATATTACACACATTAATTATTTAATATTAATAAGCCTTTAGACATTTAAATTGACAATTAGGTATTTAATCATTTAATGACAATTAGACATTAAAATAGATAATAATAATATTAATAATAATAACATTAATAATAATTAATAACAATATCAATAATAATGACTAATTCTAAATAATTAATAAATAGACGGGGCGCTACAGACAGCCTACAGACACAACAAAAAGAACACAGACAACAGAGAAAGATATAAAGAGGAAAAGGGGATAAATATGAGACCGAAACAAGGAAAGTGAGAGCTTGATAAACCTGATAAACTGAGAAATCCAGCCCCAAATGGTGCTGATAATACCTGCGGGATTAGGAATCAAAGTCCCAAAGAGGAAACCCTAGCTCCCAGAAGGAAAAAATAACATTGTTCGTAAATCAATTAGTGGAAATTTATATTTATTTTCCAATTGAATAAAATATGTGAATTTTTTTTTAAGATTTTTAAACCTTCTGAAACTATAAAAAAATTTTAATAAACAATCATGAGACATTTATTAAATAAACAATCATACCTCCAATCCTACCCATAAACCAAAGATTTCCAAGTATTTGAATGAAATCAAATTATATTAAAAATCTCAAATTAAAAAAATCTTAAAATATTATTCAACGTCCCAATCGAATAGACTCTCATTCATGTTAATAATTTTATATGTCTCATCCAAAATAACATAACATTCAATAACAACTATATGTGATCAATTGTTATATTTTTTAACTTTATTATCAAGACATAAAGTATATTTCTCAACAATATTTTTTCCACCTGGTCATATTTTTGTCATCAACTCAGGCGTAGTTCGATCGAGTAACTCGGTCTATTATTTGTTCCACATTAATAAAAAATATATTTATAGACTTAAAATCAATTTAAGGTTAAATATTCGATGAAAATTCCGGACTCATATGTACAATTAATTTTACCTGCTTAATAATAATAATAATAATAATCATAATAATAATAATTATAATACTTTATATAAAAAATATATATAAGTGGGCCATGGCCACATAATATTTTGTTAAGTCTACTTTGTAAGTTCTGAAGATTGGCAGTAAATCGACGAACCTTCATCATTTCTCTGGTGCAGACAACTCACGAATATTTAAGGGAAGTTGACTTTATTACTTGGACTTATTTTTCGATTATTACAGTTTAATTGATTAATTATAATACATGTTTTATATGGCAGGTCTGATGGAGGTCAATCGTGATTCACCTTTCATATGAGAGAGATGCTAATCGCGGACTTGGACTTTACAAATGAAGACTTACCATAAGTGAACGTGACTTGGAGGCAAAGTCTTGTGCAAGACTTACCATAGGAGACCATAGATAAAAGGAGGACAAGACGTTTAGTGAGAGTAACTTTTGGATCTTTCTTTTTTGAGTAATTCTCAATTTTCATTTATTTTAGAGTGAAGAGATCGAAAGTGAGTAGTTTATTGTGGGAAGAAAATATAGGGTGAACGAAGGTTCATTCTATTTTAGTTTGAGGGATTCAAAGGTGAAAAACCATAAGGGATTTGTGGTCGGATAAGTAGTAGTGTAAATCATTGTACAAGTAGAGTGTAGAAGGAGTCTATACTGTAAACCCTTGAAGAATGTATGTGTTGTTTGCATTAATGAAAGAGATCCGAAGGGAGAGTGAAACGCTCTCCTGAAGGTTCATTTTAAGTTATACTGCTTCCGCAATTGCTTAAATCTTCTTTCATTTCTGTTTAATTAAATTGTGTGCAACTCTGGGTACTTGGGATACAAACATCAAACTACAATTGGTATCAGAGTAGGTTTTCATATTTTTTGCGAAAGATCTAAGGACGTGTGAATTGGACAATCATGAATTAGAAAAGTGGATCGATGTCTAGGTCTCCGCAATTGGACGGATCAAACTACTCTTACGGGAAATCTATTATGACGATCTTTCTGAGATCTCTGGGAAAATGTGCTTGGGAGGGTGTTGAAAATGGCTGGGAACACCCAGTCATGCGGGCAGCTCCATATCAAGGGAAAGGACATTCATCAGGTACTGTGCCTAAACCTAAAGACATCTGGACTGACGCTGAAAAACTTCAGGAAGAAGCCAACTATCGAGCGTTGTATGCGATCATGATGGCAGTTGATCAGACTCGACACAAGATGATAGTTCAATGCAAGACAGTGAAAGATGCTTGGCGGATCTTACAGCGTCAGTTTGAAGGTTCAACAGCAGTCAAAGCATCCAGATTTCAACGTGTAACGCTCGAATTTGATGAAATCAGAATAAGGGATGAAGAAACGGTTGATATGTACTATGCCAGATTTTGCGATCTGGTAAATCAAAGTGGGATGCTAGGTGAAGAAATCTCTGAAAAGCGTCAAGTTCAAAAGATTATGCGGACAGTTGCGCCGAGATTCAGAGAGAAAATTACGGCTTTTGAGAGCTTCCAAAGAATTGCCCCTCTAGACGTTGATGAATTTCTTGGTGATATGAGGATGATCGAAATCAACAACAATTATGACAAAGTAAAAAATAAGGGACTTGCTCTCAAAGCTGTTGTAGTCGAGGAGAAAGAATACAGTGATGAAGATGAAGGTTTAAGGGTGGATGACAGCAAGTTGAAAGAGCCTTTTGCACTGATTGCAAGAAATTACGGGAAGATGAGGCAGAGGCTATACAAGAATAAGTTTGTTGGAAAGAAGTTTAATAATTCCAGCAAAAACACGGTTCAAGACAAAAAGAATACGCCTTTGTCGAAACCAGACTTACAAAGAATCGAGAAGGACCAAAGCCGAGAATGTCGAGGTTTTGGTCATTTCCAATATGAATGTGCTAATCTTAAAAAGAAGAGCAAGTCACTGAAGGCAACGTGGGAAGATTCAGATGACGAGGGAATGGAAGAACCTTCATCACACACGAGTAATATTGGAAATTTGTTCCTCAGTGAGGAAGTTCATGTGGTTCACCACTTCTCATGCCACGACAAAGTTTGAAGAGAGCATGGAAGAATCTGAAATATCAGAGGATGAAGCAGATTGGAACATATGTATTGATCCATTTCACTTGCTGAATATGGAGAAATGCGCACAAGCATCTGAGGCTATGAAGAAACTTCAAAGTGAGGTTCAGAAACTGACAAAGGCCAAATAGGTTGTTGATTGAACAAGCCTCCTCCTCTCTTACTTATAAAAAAGAGAATGAATTGGATACATTAAAGGCTCGAACCTTCATTCTTGAGAGGAGCGTTAAACTCTCTAAACAAGATGGGTTAGAGAAGTCTCAGACTATTGAATGTCTGAGGTTTGAACTGTTCTCAACTCAAAAACTGCTTGCTGAGAGAAACAAAGAAATCTTAAAGCTTAGAAATGAAGTATTTGAACTGAGAGAAACAATCATATCTCCAATCCTACCCATAAAACTAAGATTTCCATGTATTTGAATGAAATCAAATTATATGAAAAATCTCGAATTCAAAAAATCTTAAAATATTATTCAATGTCCCAATTGAATAGACTCTTATTCATGTTAATAATTTTATATGTTTCATCCAAAATAACATAACATTCAATAACAACTATATGTGATCTATTGTTATACTTTTAAATTTTATTATCAAGACATAAAGTATATTTCTCAACAATATTTTTTCCACCTGGTTATATTTTTGTCATCAACTCAGGCGTAGTTCGATCGAGTAACTCGGTCTATTATTTGTTCCACATTAATAAAAAATACATTCATAGACTTAAAATCATTTTAAGGTTAAATATCCAATTTCCGGACTCATATGCACAATTCATTTTACCTGCTTAATAATAATAATAATAATAATAATAATAATAATAATAATAATAATAATAATAATAATAACACTTTTATATAATAATTATATATAAGTGGGCAATGGCCACATAATATTTTTTTAAGTCTACTTTGTAAGTTCTGATGATTGGCAGTAAATCGACGAACCTTCATCATTTTCGTGGTTCAGACAACTCACGAATATTTAAGGGAAGTTGACTTTATTACTTGTATTTATTTTTCGATTATTACAGTTTAATTGATTAATTATAATACATGTTTTAATTGCAGGCCTGATGGAGGTCAATCGGGATTCACCTTCCATATGAGAGAGATGTTAATCACGGACTTGGACTTTACAAATGAATACTTACCATAAGTGAACGTGACTTGGAGGCAAAGCCTTGTGCAAGATTTACCATAGGAGACCAAAGATAAAAGGAGGACGAGACGTTTAGTGAGAGTTACTTTTGGATGTTTGTTTTTTGAGAAATCCTCAATTTTCATTTATTGTAGAGTGAAGAGATCGAAAGTGAGTAGTTTATTGTGGGAAGAAAATA